TCAACAGAAGTGAATTTTAAAGTGAATAAGTTCTAAAATAACGGACAAACTTTTTTTTCTTTTTCATGGAGTTAATACTCAGATCACTGAAGAGTAAGTAAATCTTACAAGTAAATGTCAAGCACTCTGTAGGTGACTATTTTTGTCAAGCAAAATGTTAGTCCTGACAATGCAAGTTAAATTTGAATTTCTTGGTTGTGTAGTTATATCCTTCTATGGCAACACCTAAAACAATCTTGACTGAAATTCAGAAACAGGCTACTACAATTTCAAATATATAGAATTAATAGATAAAACACTATATTTTGAGGGGATTCCATATACAGTAAAAGGGTGAAGTAATATTTATAAATGATGCAAGTGCTAAATGTTAACAGTTCATTTTAAAGTATTATTATTATCATTATTTTCAATCATTATTAAATATTAATGTTGTCAATTTAAAAAAAAAAGACAATTTAAGTAACACAAGAAAAATGCATTCCAGATAGAAACATTTCAGTTTGAGTAACACAAAGAAAATATTGTTACAAACACAAGAGCAAAAACTTGCTTCTAATATGGAGGTAGTGGCTCAGAAAGTGAAATCGGTGATGTGAGTTCCAATTCCAACTGAGTTTGTTACATTTACTTTTGCACAAATAACCTTGGGAAAGAAAAGGTAAGAAGCCATCTTTTCTCCCTCAACAATTGATTAAATAGCTTAGACTGGGCTCTCTTATAAGAAACAAAATGTTATTAGTTGGAGAAGACAATTGCTTTTGATGGTGGCCTCTCCTTTGCTAGATTCAGTTTGTTTTCCTTGTATAAATTTTTTAATTAGTAATATAAAAGTAATATAAAATAATGATTACTAAAAAGAGTAGATAATCATACTTATTATAAAACCTAGGTTGTGTGTGTGTGTGTGTGTGTGTGCCTGTTCATTTATATATTGGATCGGATTTCCTACATTTTTCAACCAACTTCAACTAAACTTCACAGGACTACATAAAATTACCTTGCAGTGGTTCTGACAGCACCAAAAATTGGAAAAAGAATTGTTTTTGCACGAAATCAATTTGAAAACATGATTAAGAGGCATCCCTGTTGCAAGAATGAAAGGGGGAGAACTCATTCTCGAGTTATACTTATTATAAAACCCAGGTTGTGTGTGTGTGTGTGTGTGTGTGTTCATTTATATATCGGATTGGATATCCTACATTTTTCAACCGATTTCAACAAAACTTCACTTTTTTTTTGGCAGGTAGTGTTTCTTGTCTTGCACACTTTTTTCTTTATTTTTACATTCAGAATGCTTTAAAAATTCCATTTACAAGGAAATTGTTTAAAATTCTATTCAATCGGTAGACTCATAACGATTGAAAACAATGGTTTTGTTTGAGTTTGGGTTTGACCAATTCGTAAAAAAAAAAAAAAAACTAATTAAGACATGCGTGTCCGTCAACCTTAAACAATAATCTTTGTCAATTTTATTTTTCAGTCTTTATGATGGTCGATACTTGATCTAACTCTTACTGTTACATCCCTGGGCAATGCTAGGTTCTACTGCTAGTAATAAATAAATAAATATTATATTAGTCTAGGTTTGTCTTTTACACTTACTTTTGGGAGAAGTGTATTTAAAAGAAAGACAGACAGTTTATAAAACAATTAAATTTGATATGCTACATTTGTCTGTAGAAGTTACTAAATTTAGAATTGGCTCTAAAAGAAAAATAATTGAAAATAATTCAATCAAGCAGGACTGTTTCAAAAATCGTTTTTCAAACTTAACAAATATATATTGTATATACTTGTTGAGTGTTGTGCAAGTTTTTATGATCAGTTTTGATGTAAAAAAATAGGCGGGGATCACATTATTCTACACAGGTAATTTTTTTGAAGAGGTTAAGAATCATCATAGTCAAGCATGAACGAAAAATAAAATTATGGTATCTAAATCTTTGTAGCAGATATTTTACAGTAAGTGGTTTTTCTCAACATTTTTAGGTAGCTTTGGACAAAAAGAATGAATACTATTTACTTACTATAAAATATGTCCAGGATCATGCTCAGTACTGCAATATTTACTATGATAGTATTGCTCAGAAGCTTGGATTGCATTATACATGAGCTAATGAAAATATCCTGTTTTTCACAAACAAATTCAGGACTAACACTAATAGGCTTATACAGAAGTATATACAGTACTCTATGTATTTATTGTCGAAGCAAAGAGGTGGTTTCCACCCACATAAATCTAAAGTTAAGATCTGTTTGGAGCCTGTTCAATGATATATATATATATATATATATATAAGAAGATAGGTCAGCAGATTACTTCAGAAGTTAATAAGAATTTTGACTATGTAGTGTAATAATTTCCAACCAAGTCAGAAGATGAAGAGACATGAAACTTCATCCTGAAGACAGAAAAAAAAAAGGTTCCAGAATGAAAAGCTATTTTTGGCTGTTACCTGTGGATGAACTGGGTTGTTTCTCACAGATGAAGCAAATATAAAAATGAAGTGAATCAAGTGAAACCTGTGAATAGAATTGTGTTCTAAAAAATAAATAATTTTTAAATGTCTTATTGATGCAAGTGAATTTGCTAAAGCTCCACTTCTGATTTTTTTTGTCTTTCTATTAGGTGGGTGCACCATTTTTAAAGAGTATTTTCAACCTCATTTAAAGTTTTTGTATTACCATCACAAGGTTTTTTCCCATTATTTGAAGATTGTATTGTAAATCTTTTAAAGAGCCTTTATATATTCTAATCTGTTATCTGCCTTTACTAAAAAGGGGTACAAAAGGACGTTTTTTGTACAAGCTTGTTCTGTGAAATTTGTATTTCATTATATTGTTTTAAAGTCTATGTAATAAGAGTTTGTTCCTTTTAAATTTCACTTAGTAGTTTCAAGATTTGTTTGTTATTGTATGTGCCTTTTTTTAATATTTGGGATAAGAAAGGTGCTATTCTCTCTTCTTCCACTCTCTCCTGGAAAATAAATCATTTTATTGTAGTTATGGTTGGCAAACTGTCTAGGTCAACTTTAAATTTAAAAGGAGTTGTGCATTTAGATACATTTTGAGAAGATTTTAAGGAATTCATAATTAACAAATTATAGGAATTCATAATTAACAGTAGCACAACATGATCTCGAATCAACTTGTTACCACTCATTTTTGGTCCTAATGGAATATATACATCTTAATCCCCAATTAATATCATTAAATAATCCTAGTTGTAACAATACTGTTAATTAATTTGTTTTATTCCCTCAAAAATGCATTTTAAAAACATATTAAAGAGCATAATGCATATTGAAGAGTTAATAAAAAAAACAGTAAAAGAATTCTACAAAAATGATCAACATTAAATGTAATTCTTTGAGAATTAATTAATATAAATTATTACAAATTAGTAATGCAAATTAGTACAAATAATAAGAAAATCAAAATTTCTTTATATTATTTTTACAGGGTGAGTTTTGTCTGTGCACCAGTTCCTGGCATCAACCTTGACCCTGCTCTTTAAGAGCGGTGGGGAGGTACTGTCTTGAGGATAGAAAGATGGTTACATGGATTCATAATTAGCAATTTATTTAGTAAGTGTAGCTTACATGCCAACCTCTCTCTCACAGGAGGGATGTGTCAAGTCTCTAGCTGCTCTATTGCTTTAAAATTGAAATTGCTCAGATGAACTGCATCTTCTGCTTCCACTAGGTCTGACATTCATGGCCAGAATCCATCATGTCACTTGCATAGGAGCAAACCACCCTCATTCCTTCCATATTCCATCGGTGAGATACAAGTTCCACTCAAACAGTTTCTTCCTACCAACCACTTCCCTATGGTACAGACTCCCAGGAGGATGTTTTCCCACTCACAATTAACCTGTTCAAGTCTAGCAACTGTTATCTTCCTCTCTTATACATATAAGCTACCCCTTAACATAACCTTCTACCCGGAGTGGCTCCAGGGCCTTGTACAGAGTGAATTTTACTGTAAAAAAATGTGACACAGGACCAAATGAATTAAACACCTTGTGAGTATCGACCTCACAACTTTGTACGAATGTAAATATTGCGAACTAAGGGCAAAAATACACATTTTTTTTTACCTTCATTTAGCCGTAAAAGTGTGGTCCGTCCCGGAAATTAGGCATTCAAAATCCGAAACAAAATTTAACCCTGGTTTTTGCCGCAAAATTAAGGTAAAAAAAATGGGTATTAGTCAGAATCAGAATCAAAAGGCATATAATAATAATAAATAATTATTATGATATATTCAAAACATAATATCTTATCTCGAAAATTGTGTTACTTCTATTTTCCAAGAAGAAAGGTTTTGTGTGCTTTATGCATTCGAATACCTGTGGTTTACCGTTTGTTTTATTACCGAGGTACGAACACATTACTTCAGCCACAAATCAAACCATATGGTAGTTTTTTTACGCGTAGCTTAGAGGTGGCACAAGGTTGAAAATCTGAGGCACCTAGTGATGATCGAACTAGCTATTCGGTCGTAATTGATCTTGCGAGACAAGCTTGATAACATCAAGTCGAAGTGTACAACAAAGCAAACCGCACAATTAACGTGGAAAGACACGGAAGAAAGATAACTCTTACATTTACTTCCGATTGCCAAAATCACGTGCCGGTGTTAATAACTTCTAATTTCCGGTACTATTCAACTAAGAGTTCCCTGTCTCTATCCACTCCACACGTTAATAAATATATCTATCAAAATATATGTATGCATATAAATATTCATAGATTACAGGATTAATCTATTCTCCAAACGATCTTCAAAGAATGACTGGAAGTGCAATTAAAATTAATGCTAAATAAAAATAGATTGTATCGTGTGAATGTGAATTGGATTTCCGGTTATGGTTCCCCGTCCCTGTGAAGAGGTAAAGTGTTGGCTTCGGCGGTAGTGTGGTCCGTCCTGGAAATTGGGCATTCAAAATCCGAAACAAAATTTAACCCAGGTTTTTTTTTTATATCAAACAAATGTTCTTCGATAAAGATGACGATGATCAGGACTTTTTGTCTCCATCTGGAGGGTAAAGTAACCATTTCAATTATTTGTTTGTATATTTGTTTTCATTTTGAGTGGGGGAGGAGAAACATTTTTTAAATCTTTAAGCAAGTGCTCTGTTTAATTAAAATTCAATTTCTTTTTTCATTTTATCATTTTAAAATGAAAATTAGTTCTCAGTTTCATTCTTTTTAAAAATATGTTGATTTGGCTTGGTACGAAATTATTCTTATGTTTTTTTAATTTTTTTTGCATTCACGACGAACATTGTTTTTGAAGAAAAAATAATTATTTAAAAAGTTTTCTTTAATCATTCTTTACAAATAATTTCTAATTAAAATAATTATATGCCTTTTTGTTTAAAAATAAATAAAAAAAACAGTCTTAACTATTATTAACTATTGTTTTTCAAAATAAGTTTTCGATTTTTAAAAAAACTTTTAGTTTTACGATGATTAACGCCCATTTCCTCTTCTTGGGGTTTTTCTCTTTTTTGTTTACGTTCTTAGTGAAAATTTTAAAATGTGTTATTAGAGAGGAATTGTTTTAAAAAAAGAAGATAAATCAACAAAGAGATTTGTTTAATAATTATAAATATATTAGCAAATATAATTTCTTGGTAAGCTAAAAATTAAAAATCAAGTTTCACTTTGCGATTTATTTCAAAATAAAGATGAAACACCTTTTTTACTTTTTAGACTTCGTATTTTACTTCTTCTTTTTTTTAAACAATTATCTTTATAATAAATTACAAACTTGACACAATTTATACGATTATTTAAGAATTTAAAACGAAAATATAGACTTTTCAAAGTTTTACTTTTAGAAACTCCTTCAGTTTGGCTTTGAACCCTGGACCTACCTCGTCAAAATAGTTGACATTTAGGATTTTTTACTGGAAGCTCCTGTATTTATCATGGGTAACAAAATGTCATTTTTATTTTGCATCTGTGTAGTGTACTGTAAATAATACCAACCTTCCTAATTGCAATGATGAGAATTTATTTTCTATTTATTTTACTCAGTAATAATGATTTTTTAATTGTCAAATTTTTAGAAATATAAACAAAAAAAAAAAAAACAAAGTCAATTTTATTGTTCGTTTGTTTCCCCTAGAATACTTTAAAAATAACCAAAAATGATTTTAAAAAAAATACCGAAACTTTAGAATTTAATAGGCAGTATGTTACATGTTCTGATAAGTCCATTTTAGCGTTTCAAACAATTTTTACATACCATACCCTGATTTATCTCCCTTACAGCGCATTTCAGTTTCTCGAACGAAATTATTATTCTGGACCCTCGGGAGGTAATCAAATTCAGCATTTGTTGTGCAGTAACACAAAAACTGAAACAAAAAAAGGAAAAATATCGTGAAAGCCAATGAAAATGGTACGAACGAACCCAAAATTATTCCCATTCTATAGATAAATGGAGAGAAAATGTTCCCAGAAATCAAACTGGAATGTTTTTTCCTGTTTCTCAGAAACAGGAAAAAATATTCCAGTTTTTCAACAAAAAAAAAGAAGAAAAAAAAAAGGGGGACGTATGGGTATTTGTCAGTGCACCCACGTAAAGTAAGGTCAGTTTAAAAAGTGGGTTTACCACTGTGGAAAAATTGCTGAAACTCCCTCGACACTTCCCCTTTTGAAGAGCCTCAGTCGCCGCCGCCCGAAGAAGATGTATTGCCTGGTGGGTGGATAACGCCCCTGGGCCTTGAGCTCTAATATTATTTAGAAAATTTTCAGAACTTAAAATATGAATGTCGTTCAACAAATTTATTTGCGATGTAAGGGAGATAAATCAGTGTTTTGTATACAAAAATAAAAAAAGTCTGAAACGCTGAATTATACTGGGTGCTTTTTCGGGTCAGTAAGTGAAAGCTAGAATCAAGTAAAACTAAAAGCTATTGCACCTTCAACAAACTGTCCTCAATTGATAAGATTTTGAACAAAAGAGATATGATTGCTTTTTAAACCTTGTCTCATTTATGTGACATTTGTCAAATTAAATTGTTTTTTTTTTACAATGATGTTTGTTTACCCTGTATAAGACCCAAGAGACTCTCGAGGTAGAGTGTTACAGAGTAAAAGAGTATATGTGGGGATGGTAACAGTTAACTCTAGATTTGTACAGGTTAAGTTTATAGCAATTGAGGAAGCATCCACTTGGTAGTTGGTACTGCAAAGCAGCAGTTCATGGAAAGAAGCTGTTCGGGTGAAACTTGCATCTCACCAATGGAATATGAGGGGAATGGGGGTGGTTTGATGGATCCTAGCTGGGAAGGTTAGAATTGGTGGAATCAAGGAATGCAGTCCTTCTGAAGACTTTCAAATGGAAATAGTGATAAATAATAAGGATACAATTGAAAAAATACATAGAAATTAGAATTTTTTTCAGACAAACAGTACTTTTGCTTAAAAGTCGCTCAGTAGATAATGTGACATTATTTGATGTTGGGGAGTGGAAAGAAAGGGGTTAAATGAAAAACCTAACTCGGAACAAGATGAGAAGGGTTAATGAATAGAATGATAAACAGACCAAGAGAGAGAAGGGAGATCCTTTTTCCAGAAGTAAAGCTTAATTTTCTGAAACCAGAAAATTACTTGTAGGAAAGTGATTACAAGAGCCATGTGGTAGTCTTTTAACTGACATCTGATTAATGAGGTAGTTCACAAATCATTGTTTATGAAAACACAATATAAGCAGGATGGATAAAATTTGATCTGTAACCAAATCAAAGGAATAGAGTTTTTTTGTGTAACATAGGGTATTTGGAGTGCAGTGACCTTGTGCCAGAAGCCTTGTTCAGACTTGGCTAAACCAACCAAAATATCGCATTTAACTTAAGAAGAAAGGGTCAATATTTTTCTACATGAAGAACTGATAATTTTTAATTACAAGAACTAATCGAGCTCTGTACAAAGAACGTATATAAAACATTTTCTTTTATACCAACAATACATATTTAAAATAAAATTACCAACAATACATTTTATTTGTAGTCAGAGGCATATAATTATGTTCAAAATATTTAGATTTTGGCAGTAAATAACCCATAGAGGTGTTGATATGCCACTAAATAAAAACAACCAAAAGTAAGCAGGATGTTCCACTCAGAAAGTTCCATCCCAAGAATGACTACTTTTGAGGCCCAGACCTCCTCACCCCATGGATGCATTCCTGAAAAGTATAATTTTAACCTTTTCAATTCTAGGGTCAATTGTTATTTATCCTCCATATCCTCATAATCTTCATATCACAAATCTCATTCATTAACTCTGATGGAATTGTTGACCTGCTGTGTCTGACATACCAGCCATAGGAATGCTTGGCTATGGGTTCACCATTGTCACCAATGATGGCAAACATATCCATGGAATACTTCAAGGAAATGGTTTAGGAACAGCATCCCTAAAGTCAACTATATAGCTGAGATACATAGATGACACCTTTGTACTCTGGCCATACCAAGTTGCTGTACTGTAATTGCTGAACTATGTGAACCCAATAAGATCTTTGATCTAGTTCACAATAGAAGAAGAAAATAATAATCATCTAGCCTTCCCAGATTTATTCGCAAAGAGAATGGGTTCAAGACATCTGTATATCACAAGCCAACCTTCACTGTACAATACCTTAACTTCAATTCCCACCATTCAAAGGGATCGTCCAGTGTCTACAACACCGTGCAAGAGCCATAAGTGTTAACCACCCCCCACATGCACCAACAGGAAATGATTAGCATCAAACATACTCTTTAAAGCAACAACTATCCAGGAAGCATAACATCATCTTCTGCAGGCAAAAACAGAGGAGGAGGACCAGAAGACAGCTATTGTCTGTTTCCTTCACAACAAGGACTTATCAGAAAAGGGACAGAAGATCTGCAGTCCATATAACATCAGTACAATATTCAGAAGCAACTCAACTATATGAAGAAATCTCTGCTAAATTAAACCTAATAATGAAGAGAACATCCCTTGCAGTTGGGCCGAAGAATATAAATTTGAAAGCTGGTATCCAATTAAATGTAAAGCCAGATGAACATCTAAAAGCTATAATTAGGGGTAAGATAATGAAATCAGACATGGCTGATCATGTATTAAGGAAAAAATGTAGTAACCAACCCTTTTGGAATGAATTAAAGTTATGAAACTCAGAACACTAGAGTTAGACATCTGAATGAAATGGTGCATATGTTCGGTTATGTGGAACTTCTTAGTAGGCCTAGCATAGAAATAAATACAATATGGGAGTCATTAATAAAGAAAGAGAAATGACAGTAAAGCTTCAGCAGCAGTAGTAAGAAAAGAGAAGCTTTAGGGAATGCAATCATGCATGATAAGAAGCAGAACAACAGGTAGATTAGGTTTAAGTCTTGAACTTCTACACACAGGATTGTCCCACAGGACAATAGTCTAGTGGATTAAAGTCTTGGTTCATGAATTTGATTACACGGCAGCTGTGAGTTCAATCCCTGGACTGGGTAGTGCAAACTTAAACTCAGTGGAAATGAGGCGTACTAATGACAAGAAATGATATCTCTAGATATGTTCAACAGAATGAGAACAATCTACCTGTGTAGATTAGTGAAAGGTACTGTTCAAAAATCCCTGAAGGTTACCTGATGAAGGCTGGAGATCACAACAGCCATAATAACAACAATTGTAAATAATCTAAAGAGTAATGTTTATTGAACACCTCATGAATGCATTGACATACAAAAAAATAGTCAAAAAATGTTTATGCAAAAGTACAAAGTTAAATAAGTTAGCAGTTTAAAATTAGAACAACTTCAATATTGTAATTTATAAAAATTTGATATTGAAACCACATTATCATTGTTGATGGCCTTCCACTTTTGTTTTTTCTCATTTTTAAACCACATGACTTTATCAAAGTATTCATACTAAATGACTCCAACAGCAGTTATCACTTGATGTCTTACACTTTTTACGTAAATGTTGTTGATATAGATAAATGAAAAGTCACTGATATCAATACAATGGCTTGAGAGATAAC